TGTAGTGTTATGTTTATCTGCACGCACTTCTCCAACTTTTAAACTCTTATAATTTAAAAAATAGTTGTTCAAAACTGGTTACCGACCAGTCAACAATTTTTGTACATTATTCTCAATTTAAAAAAAATAATGAAACGTATGCGTTACCATTTAAGTTTCTAAGGTTGGTATAAGAATAATTATAAGAGTAGGAGTGCAGTAGGAACATACAAAATTTGCGGAAAATTGAGATCACAATATTATATAAAAACACTATAGAAAAAAAATGTATTATTTATACCAAATGAGATATTGAGTGGTTCACGATAAAATTATCACCCTGTATTTTAATACACATTGCTGGCAGACTGATAATGGTCGCTCTAAGACGACGCCGAGACACATTGGACGATGCCATGACCGTCGGCAGAGGACATTAAAAGCACGTACTAGGGTTATATACAAGGTTTAATGATTGTAATGGCTATAAACACACATATTGTCGCCGGTGTTGAGCACCTCAAAATGACAACATAAAAATACACGATCTAAAATCTTCTTGTTCCACAACCTACCCGGCGGCGAATCCACTCTGAAAAGTCTATCGCACAATTTCGCTAAAAAAATCCAGTAGAAAGATGACGGAGCTTCTTCGGTCGAGGAATGTCATGGGTAAATGTGGATTATTAAATTTGAATGTGATAGAATTCCTATAATAATTTTTTGACTGATACCTTTGGTGAATCTGTAGATGGTAGAAATACCAGTTCAACTGAATTGGTACCCAAACCCAAGAAGTCAATATTTTCACCTTTAAAGAAACTATTGAATTCCTTCCCAATATTTCACTATTGATTTAGACTCCTTCTTTGACATTTATTCGCAAACACACGGATTACCAAAATTAAATTATTACACCATTACTTTCGTATATTTTCTAAATAGTTTTTGTAACTAAATTTTGTAAGCAAAACTTATACAAACTAAACAAAAATAGCTAAAAAATAATTAGTAATGTAATTTCATATGACCATTTACAAATAATTTTGTAGGTATTAAACTAAAAATATAGCAATTTCAAATTAATTTTAACACTTTGTGGCAATTAATGTTGACTGATATATTTTGTATGTAAGGAAATCTAGATATTTCGACAGTGTCATACTTATTAATTTGTTTTTCTAAAAATTGTTTTGTTTTAATATAAAAATATTATTATACATAATGTTCGCTGTCTCGAAAAATTTCCATTATTAATAGAAACATTGTTTTTGTAGCTTAAATTTTGTTAACATCATCCAAAGATAATTTTTGGCACTTTTAACTTATTTTTTAAATCTTTTCTAAAATTATTTGTTGAAAAAAAACCCTGTTTTGTGTCATATCCCACATGTTTAATACGTTTTATTAATATTTACATCTATTGCCTTTGTTAAATTTAAATTTTACTTAGTATTTTCAAGAAAAAAAAAGAAAGGAAATTCTTATTTTTGTTTTATGAGTATTTTTTTTTATATTCTATAAATGCCTCTAGCATTTTCAAGAATAATGAGGAATGCTGAAAATTAAAATTATTCTTGAGGTCAGAAAAAAATCCAATTTCAGTGTCAGGATTTCTTTACCAGTAATAAAATCAATTTTATAAATCTTGTCATTAAATGTTGTAATTAGTAATTGGTAACATTGAACGATTGTGATTAGTAATTTTAAAAAAAATTAAGTTTTTTGTAATTCATGCACCAATGTATTCAATAGTTGTCTGCCTGAATGGAGAGGAAGTAGACCGGACTAACAAGCGAAAGAGAGAGGATAAGTTTGTGTTTTTAAATGAGCTTTTTGAGACGCCTTTCGAATATTAGCTTTGTCGGTTTGCCCGAAAGAACAATAAAAGAAAAATGAGCAACACAAAGGTCTGGCAATATACATAAAGACCTGAACGGTGTTATAAAAGCAGTGTTGGGCGACACCGTAAAATTAAATGACAATGGAAAGTCGATGGTGGTGGTGGTGGACAATTCTTCTGAACCGTTTGAGGGGCTACAAAACGAAATTGATTAAAAGACTTACCCGGGAACAGCACCGATTTTGGAAAACATTTATAACATTCATCACATTAGTTTAAACATATTATATTAAATTGTATTGTACATTGTCGAACGTGTAATAGTGTTTATAATTTTTAATGAGACGTATGAAACTCAAAATAAGTAATTATGTTGAAATAATTTCGGATTCGGGGTTAACACTTGTTTTTGTGGATTAGCAAATTCCCGAAAAATATGTAACAGTAAAACAAAAACAAAAATGATGACATGATAAATAATATCAAACAGTGAAATATATTATAATTTGTGATTTTTAAGTTAAAAGTTGATGGGTCGTTTCATTTAATGTAAGTCTTGTACTGTTTTCTCATATTTTCTCACAGTCGAGTTTAATCGCAGACAATTATTTTCTGACTAACTCTGTCTTGCTGATATATTTTAGTCACTTGTATTTCGTCTACAATCTTCCAATCTTCTTTACATATAAATCAGAATGAAACGAATTCCTTTTTACTCCACGGGAGTCCTAGCCGGGAGACAAGTAACTCCCAGGAAATTGCTAACGACCGTCTCCGAAGTCCTCTCCTGGAACACTCCTGCCGGCCGTTTCGGGGGATTAAATCAAGAAAGTCATTTGGAACCCTCGAGGGGATTACCTTAGAGTGAATTGCATATTAGTAGAGTCTACCGAATTAGTCATACATTGTTTTCTATTGTGGGGATTGAAAGAGGGCTGTATTTAGACTAAAAATATAAAAATTAACATGAAAACAAATCAAAACTCTTCTCGACGGAGACAACGTTATAACGATAATAATTATTTTAGAATTAATTTGGAAAAGCTGGTTTTAAATAACCACACCGAAACAAAAATATTAATAAAGGTGCGGGTTCGTGGAAATGTTCAACGCGTTTGGGCGCGGGTCGCCAAGTAAGTTCTTGTATAGTTTTTTTGGAAATGTCAGTTATGATAACCGTAGGCGCTGTTGAGAGTTTTATACGATACAATATTATTATCAGAATATAATATTATATATTATACAGCTGTATACTTTTATCTCATACCGCGTTAGACAATTTAATAGGCTTGGGTCTAAACGCCTTCTAATAAAATAGGATTTTAATAACGTTTTTTCGGCTACGCAGTTGCAAACGTATTGGTCTTATTACGGCTGTTTTTTTTTTTATTATTGTGTATCCGGTAACTTTTTATCCTGTTGACCGACTTACTCGAGTGACTTGTCGGTACATTGGCGGGTCAAAAGTTGAAAAAGTCAAATCTGAAAAGTCCAACTCTTTCACCGGCCAAACCGGAAACGAAACTTGTTCAGAGGGTTCGATACGTGACGTATTATTATAAAAATGTTTAAATAACCAATTATTTGTATGTGCACTATATAACAATGTTAACAATGTAGAAAAGTACACTTGCTAAACTAGAAGGAATCATCTCGGGTACAGAAATTTAAAGAAAACGATATCAGCTGAATATTAAGGCCGTGATTACACAAGTCAGCATTTGCAAGACTATGAAAACGCATAAAATGTATCGCAATCGATTTTTCATTTAACATAACCCCATTTAGGGAAAAAACTCTATTTTTGAAAAATTAGTGTGATTAAATAAACCTTCGGTTCAACACAATATACTACATTGTCTGATCATTTTGATAAATTAGAATTCGAACAAATATCTCACTCAAGAGGATTTGCGCCTTTGCCTCAATTCTATTGAGCTTTATGGGCTGTTTAAACCTTTTACATAGAATTTGAACATACAATCACAGATTAGATCAAATTTGTCCAATCTGTGATATTGTCTCGAACCAACGTCAAATAAGTAGTATACGAATTACTGTTACTTTTTCGAAATTACTGTCTTTGTAGAATTTTCAATTTACAACAAATTTTGCTGGAATTTTTTTTTTTTGTGTTTTTGTGAGCACTAGTTATAGTAGCTAAGAAAATCGAAGGTAGTACTAGACTATAAGTATAGTATATACTTATATACTTATAGTATATGTATAGTACTATACATCATAAGCTGATAATATTTCCAAGGATAGGATTTGTCCACAGATATCTTCATGTGAATGTGCTATATAATTTGAATATTCATAAAATAAAATATAGGTATTACATTTTTAATAAATCCCGTGTACAATAAATATCAAATATCCACTTTTTGTGAAAAATATATATCAAGTGAATACTTGTTTAATTGGCTTTAGTTAGTTCTACATCAATATATGATTTTTATAATTATGTTGTATATTATAATAAACGTTAACGTTAAATTATTACTTGCCCGGTCCATTACTTCAACAATATCTAAACATTCATTACTAATATCCCTAACTTCTTTTAATATTTCAATTTGGACTTGATGAGAACCATAGTCACAACTCTCAAACAACATTCTATAGTATGATAATTATTAATCTTACTATTTATTACCAGTTACTAAAGACATCCGTGTTGACATTTTTATATCAATTACTATCATAGTTATTTTTTGTCTCATTTAATCTAAACATACTCTTATAATATTACACTACTTTAATATGAATCGCACGAGCTAATGATTTTTTTATTTTTACTAGAAATGTTGTCCCGTTGTAGGACAAAATATTTGGTGCTCTTTTTTTTCAAAAACGACATAAGTTTATTCGGTAAACCGTATGATACGTTATAATTGTGTACTTGTGAATATTCAGTGCAATTCATGAAAACGCACAAATAACTTGTTCCGTTCTCATTGCCTATATTAGACATTGTAATTAGGAAAAAAAACTTTCAATGATATTATATTTTCATTACATTTTATTATATTTGACGTATTGCAGTTTTCATGCAACAATATTTTGAGATTTATACACATTTTTCACAAAAAATATTAGCTGTTTTAAAAATTATATTATAAGATTAAACAATTTTTTTTTTTTGTAACCTTTATTTTTGAGTTTTGATCACATAATCAGTAACCATAATCATCATCTTTTTCATATTTTTCTATTCTCAAATCTTTTTGTTCAACATATCGCCGGTATTTCCTACTTTTCTTACTTTTCTTCTTTTCAGCGCATACATCTTGGGGATATCCAATTTTTTTGCAATGGTCTTTAAAAAGTTTACTATAAAGTTCCAAACCTATGTTTTCTAAAAAATTTAAAAAAAAAAGGTTAAATTTTAAATTAAATAATTATGTGCAAATATTTGGGCATGATCTGGTGCAGTGGTCACCTCAGTTGTCCATGAAACAATTTATTTTAGCTAAAAATGTATTGTTTTTACAATGACGTAATAAGTAATATAAAAGGGAATGAGAATACTTCTATAAAACCAACTGCTTTTCAGTTTCGCATTAAAAGTAATAAATATTATAAAATTATATAATATAATGTGTAAAGTTAATATTTACCTTTATTTTGCCCTTCTTCTGGATGATCCTCGAAGAATTTATCGGATATTTCTTGATCTTTTCTGAGACCACCCATACATTCGATAAACATATTACAGGTTATAATATTTTCAAATGGACGGTATCGGTAGTGACTCATCCATTCTAAACATACTTTAAACGAATCTTCTATAATCTGAAAATGTTTTAATAACACAAAACTGAATTCAATAAAAATTCCAATTATAAAATTAAAATACGCATGGACTTAAATATGTGTATTTTTTAAGTGCTAATTAACAAGCAATACAAAAAATAAATAAAATATAAAAGTACAGATTTTTTTTAGGTATTTATATGTTTTGAGAAGAAATCTTATTATTTGTTTTTTGTATTGTTTTACTAAAAATAAATATAAAATATTTTAAAATAAAATGAAACTAAAAGAACGTTTTTTTTAACACATCACATTCTTACAAGGTTTGATGTTTTAATAACCAAATGAAGAAATTCATCTAGACTATTAAACATACCATATATTTGTTTATTAAGCATAAGTATACTTTTGTTCAAAGTCAAACACTTAAACAAAATTATATTTTTTTTAAATATATATATTATTTAGAATTTATTATTTATTCAGTTCGATTTTAAGTAATTATTTATTACCTTATTCTAAAAAAGTTATAACTAAAAATGGATGTTATTTCTTTTTTTTTACTTGCAATACTTTAACATAAATATACTTTAGCTGTTAAAAAAAATTATAATTAATTATAAGCTTTAATCTTAACCGATGCGTATTTCCTGTCGTCAGCGCATTCTTCTATGGACATGTTTCTTTTTTTGCAATGATATGTAAAGAGTTCCTCAAATTGTTGTAAATTTAATTTTTCTAAAACAAAAAAAAAACATTTTGAATTTAAATACAGGATAGGGCGTAGCCTACTGGCGAGACTTAGGGATCTATAAATAACGTCAAGTAAAACTTAGATAAATGCAGTTTGTATTATTAAAATCAGTATGAAATCCCGTTTATTAAGCTATGTTTTGAAAATTATATCTACAAGTTGGTGGTCATCAGACGCAATGCATTGCTGCGATCTCTGAAGTTTACTTACCGATCTCTGGATCTGTAAAAACCGAACTTTCGATACGATATGTTGTGATCATGGAAGCTTAACTGTAGCGCAGGTTTGATGAAATGGAAGATGAATATGACTTACGGATATATGTATATATTAATTAGCTTGTTTTTTCTTTGACAAATGGTCGCCATTTTATTTTAAAAAATAACTTAAAAACGGGATTTCTTACTGATTTTAATAAAACAAACAATTTCTCTTTAAATAAGGGGATAAGCGCGATAGAATAGGCATCGGCGACCACTGGGCTTCCACTATAAAGAAACCAATGAATTCATTCTATTCGTCTTAGCAACCCACATTCCAAACGCAACTTGATTATTTTGTTTACGGTAAATGGTTATTATTGCATACTTGTAATTCAAATGTTATGTAACAATGCATTTTAAATGTTATCCAATAGCCACAGTTGCTGCGGGTATATAACAATAAAAGAAAATACATTTTATGTATATTTTTTACGATTTTTGAGAAAATTGTATTAGTTATAGCTCCATTTTAGACTTTCGGTGTAGTCTAATTTTTAGACCTAAAATCCTTGGGGTGTTACTAAAGGGGAAAGCGTTATTTTTCTTAAATTTTAGCATAAAAATGGACATTTCAGGTTCGATTTCTGAACTACACAGTTGCAACACGATGAAATCGTTTTAGCGGTTTAAAAGAAATCGTGAGTCCAGTCGCAACATAAAAAAAGTAAAAAGAAATATTGAATAATGACACATTATTGTAAACACAATACCTTCTCAGCTCCGCATCGAGTATAAAATATTGTGAAATGATGTAAAACTTATGTTATAAATATGTTTACCAAAATCTTTTTTTTTTTTGTCTGTATGCTCAATGAAGTAATCTTCCGTGATTTGATAAATTTCTCCTGGTTTACTCATAATCTCAATAAAATGATCCAATAAAACACGATTACTTTGGACATTGGAGAACCGTTTTGAGAAATCCTTGAACAAATCTTCAAAAATCTGAAATTTTTTTATCAATAACAAAACTTTAATCCATAAACAATCTGATTGTAAAATTTAAGAAAACATATACATTAAAATACCATAAACTTGAGTGATAATTAGCAAGCAATTAAAATATTATTATATTTTTAAAAACATTTTATATTAATTGTATTTATAATTAGTTTTTTATTTTGGAGAGAATAATTTTTTTAATTTTTGAATATTTTTAACTAAAAATATAATTAAATATTAATTGCTCGATTCTAAAAAAAAAATTGTACTCGTAAAATGTTTGTTATTTTTAAAAATGAATTTAGAAAATATTTTAATTGTAGTGGCAGGTAAGCCAAGTAGACGTCGCTTTATTACAAGTTTAATATTTTATTACCCAGACTAAAAAATACAATTTATTTTAAACATTAGTTTATTGGTTGCTCTAATATAATACAAATATAATTCGGCTGATAACAAAAACATAATAAGCTTTAATCTTACCCTTTTTTCTTTCCATTCCTTTGCGCATTCTTGTACGGTCATATTTTTTTCGTTGCAAATGCGTTTAAAAAGTTTACTATAGTGTTTCAAATTTAATCTTTCTAAAATCAAAGCAAAACAACATTTTTAAATTTAAATATATTGCGTATGTAAATGAGAATACTATCTTAACCAACAGCTTGACATTTTCTCTTCAAGGGTAAAATAATATTATGAAACGGTGTATAACATATTATTATAGTTCAGTTTACCATCTCTTATTTTGCTAAAATATTTTTTGTCTCTTTCATTGAAGTACTTAAGCATAACTTCATAACTTTCTATGGTCTTTACCATGTACAAAGTACAATGACCCATTAAAATAGGATTAACTACATCGTGCCGTAGGTCCACCCTGATATATTGTATACAATCTTTTAACGAATCTCGTATAATCTGAAATGTTTTTATCGATACAAAGTTAAATTCCATAAGAAATCCTATTGACAAATTTACAATACGCATATACTTAAATAAACAAATGTTTTAGTGCTAATAATTAACAAGCAAAAAAATATTAAAATTTTTTAAAATGATTTAATAGAAATAATTATCTACATTAATTTCATGTGTATTATTATTATTAATTTTGATTTAAAGGGAATTTAAAATTTTTTATTTTTGTATTTTTGCTACAAATAAAATAAAATTTTAAGTACTCGATACTAAAAAAAAATTATACCAAAACACTTTGTCCTTTTTTTTAAATAAATTTAGAAAATATTAAAATGTTGTAGCAGGCGTGCAAAGTACACGTCGCATTATTACAACTTGTTTTATTGCCCAAACTCAAAAATAAAATGTATTTCATCGGTTGCTATAACACAAATATTTTTAGCTGTTAGAAAAATTATATTATTCTTATAATTATTGGTCTTAACCGCTGCTTCTTTCCTATCTTTTGCGTATTCCTGTACGGAAATGTTTTTTTTGTTGCAATGGTATTGAAAAAGTTCACTAAATCGTTGTAAATTTAATAATTCTAAAACAAAACAAAATAACATACATTTTGAATTTGATTAGAAATAATATATGTTATTATAGGTGCGTTGTGTGGTGCAGTAGTCACTTTGGTTGTCAAAGAAACAATTATTTATTTTAGCTGAAAATGTATTGTTTTTACAATTATTTGTTTTTAATTAAATTGATAGTATTTTTGGGTGTATGCAATTTATTTACAGTACATATTGCATATTATATATAAAATATTGTATATTGCATATTGCATATAATGTATATTTTATTATGATCTTTGTTTTGGTCACGTTTTATAACTTCTGAACGTTAATTTTTAAACATTTTTTAAGACGCATTCACTGTTTAATAACATCGAAAGAAAAATAATTTGTTAAATTATTAAAATTTTTATAAATGCTAATGAGATAACTTTCTTAAACTAACTGCTTAACAGTTTTACTTTAAAGATAAAAAACTAATAATGAATTCGATGCAAATCGGTAGTTAGTATTTTCAAGCCAGTACAGTCAAAACCAATCACAGTATAAACCAGCAAAGTTAGAAAGTTTTAAATTAAGGTTCTGTATTTACAAATAAGCATCAAAGCGTTAATTTGAAAGTGATTTTATCCGAGAGGACTAGTACAGTATAAAATATTGTTCAATAATGTAACGTATGTTATAAATATGTTTACCAAAATCTATTTTTTTTTTGTCTGTATGCTCATTGAAATATTCAATCGTGATTTCATCATCATCATAGGTGATTTCATTTTTCAGTTCACTCATGTACATGTCAAAATAATATATCGAAACAAGATGTCTAGTTGGTTCCCAAACGTCATTAGTTTGGTTGTAATATTTTAAGCAATCATTAAACAAATCTTCGATAATCTGAAAACGTTTTATCAATGCAAAGTTAAATTCCATAAGAAATCAAATTATTAAAATACGCAAAGAGGTATGTTTATGTTACGTGCTAATTAACAAGCAAAAAAAACCAGTACAGTGGGGTCGGGGCATAGTGAGGACGGAGAATAGTTGGGTCGGGGCATAGTGGTGACGGGGAGGTCACAGGTTTACAGGAATTTTTAAATCTGAAAGTGATAAAATCACTTTCGAAAAAACGCTTCGATGCAAATCGGTAGTTAGTATTTTCAAGTCAGTACAGTCCAAACCAAGCACAGTATAAACCAGCAAAGTTAGAAAGTTTTAAATGAAGGTTCTGTATTTACAAATGAGCATCAAAGCGTTTATTTGAAAGCGATTTTATTCAATTTTATCACTTTTATTTATAATTATTCTTGTAGACCTGTGACCTCTCCGTATAATACATTATGCCAATACTCTACTGTACTAGTCCTCTCGGATAAAATCACTTTCAAATTAACGCTTTGATGCTCATTTGTAAATACAGAACCTTCATTTAAACTTTGCTGGTTTTTTAAAAAAAAAAAAAAAAAAGTTGAATTTGTGTCAACTTAAAGTCAAAAGTGGTAATTGGGTACAAAACTTAATAGTATCATTCTGCATAGATATACATAAAATTGTTTTAATGATTTGATAAATTTTTTTTAAAGATTTTGGGTGTTTTTGTTAAAATATACGCAATGTGCGAAAACACGGTTTTCCGGCAATTAAAAAAAAAACTGTAGTGCCGAATTTTTCACCCGCTTAATATGTTATGGATACATATGAGTTCCAACTACTGGCAAATTTTCAACCCAAAAGTTTTAAAATTACGGCTAAAAACCCCGAAAAACAAAAACTTGTACCCCCCTAGGGGGGCGGGAAATGGATATAGTTTAAATTTGATACAACTGACGTGCGCGGGCATACCAAATAAATATTTCTTATAAATTTCAACTCGATCCGACTCTTTTTCTCGAAGCTATAGCCAGTAAAAGTTCTAACTTAAAAACTCGTACGGTTTTTTTTTTTGTTTTTTCAACTTTCGTCTGTGAAGAATTAAACTTTTTCAACTTTTACTCCCCTAAAGTACAAACTAGACAAAATTTGTGATTTATAGAGTTGCTATTCGAAGGAATTGGTCTAGTATTAAAAAAGTTACAGTGTATACAGCGAAAAAAAAAGCCCACATCAGAGTAAAACCAATACTTTCTCGCTTTGCATCGAAGCTAAAATACAGCGAAAAAAAAGCCCACATCAGAGTAAAACCAATACCTTCTCGCTTTGCATCGAAGCTAAAAGTTTTTTATAAAAAGGTATACATATTTTTATCTATTATTATGTGACGGGAGATTATCTTATTATTTGTGTTTTTTTAATAGAAATAAAATAAAATATTCTAAAAAAAGATTAAACTAAAAAAAATGTTTTTTTTTCCACGTCACATTATTATAAGCTTTGATGTTTTGTAACTAAATTAATTAATTTATCTAGATATTATTTCGTTATTTTCTATACAGGGTGATTCTTTTATCATGAACCACTCAGTATCTCATCAGTTATAATATTCATAGTTTAAAGCCAAAAACTTCAGCTTACACAAAATATGCCGAATTCATTAAGAATAAATTAATATTTTATTTCAATTACATTTTTTATTACGTTCAGATTAACATATCGGAAATTTTAATTATTGAATCAAAGAGTGATAAAACTTACTATTTATTCGTTTACAAAGAAGTTAGATTATTACAGTTTTGGGCTTAAAAGATGATAAGTAAGTTTATTTAAATTTGGCTCAAATTATTTAACTACAATTTTTAATTTACATTTAATATCAAATCAATTTTTTTAACAAACAATTCTAAAAAGTTATTTTGATTAAAAATATCTTTGATAAGAATTTTAATGCATCTAAGTCGTTACACAAAAATAATAGTAGTTTCCTATTTAAGAATCGATTTATAGGAAAACTTTAACTTTTATAAATGATTTAATAAAATTTAATATTTTTTAATAATAGTATAAATTACCTCAGCTTCAGTTTCCTTTTTCGGTCCAGCTGAACTTGAAGCTTCAGATGGGTCAGTTGCAGTACATTTAGCAACTAGGATAAAAATTAAGAACGAAAAAGACACCTTGAAAACCATTTTAATATTTTATCAAGTATAAACTGATGTTAAACTGCGAAACAAAACGAATGAATTTTACCGTCTCTGAATGCCTGTATTATTAAAATATAGCAAAACTATACGTGTACATAAGTAAAGCAAATAACATTGCTATTGAATATTTTAGATATGGCAGTATTTTTTAGATTGCATATTTGCCAAGTATATTTGTTGTATGAAAATCGCACTATCGTCGATGTCTTATAAAGAAGAACAAAAAAATAGGTTGGAAGTTGTGTATTGCAACACTATAATATATATTTAAGAAAAATTCATTTGATTGAATATCCAGACTACGAATCTCTGGGTTCCAGTTAAAATGTGTAGAATAATATCAGTTAAATTTGATTAAATATTAGTATGTAGTACTATACTTTTACATTTTTAAAATTGGCAAAAACCCGCTTAAAAAGTTCTTCGTGGATATTCTTTATTGTGTCTAATGTTATCGTTATGCGCATCAATGATAGTTTTAATATGTTGTTTAGGATCTTTTAATTAATGATTTGTTAATATTATTTACAAATTTTGAATCTCTTGATCTTGGGATCGTTTCATTTATTTGAAAATAAAATCTAGTCTTAAATTATTTTTTATCGACAGAATACAAATTTAGAAATTAAAAACAATCTGCTCCTTAGTAAATAGTTAGGTAAAAACGCCACTGGCCAAAGGTAGGGATCGTTTCAAGATGGGAAAATGCCGGAATTGCGGAGGAAAAGTATTATGGTACCAATATTTAAGTGCAAGAGAGATGTGTAGGAGTTTAGAAATTATAAAGGTATAAAACTGATGAGTCATAGTACGGAGGATTGGTAGACTACAATATCATCTTTTTTTTCCCAGGGAAATCAACTATGGAACCAATACTTTGTAGGAGGCAGATTGTGGAGAAAAAAAATTGTGTATGGTATTTATAGACTTAGAACAAGGCATATGATAGAGTTTCCAGAGAAGTACCTATTGATGTGGACCTTGAGGAAAAAAGGAGTGTCGAGGGTGTACGTGAGAGTAATATGGTGAAAGCAACTTGGTTCTGCCAATTGATGTCCTCTTATCATGTAAAAAACCGTCACTGCCGCCCTAAAGTAAAAACTATACATTCTTTACAAGTTGCTAATTAAATGTTACCATTTAGGTTACCAATTAATAATATTATAACTCTTTAAGGACTGCATTCTAAATTGCCAACTTTTAGATGTAATTTATCTGTATGTAATTATGACTTTGTAGTGTTACCTGGAACTTGGCTTAACTGTAGTTTTTTTATCTCTGAGTTGGATGTATTTTTTGTTTACCGTTACGGGTTTAGGTGTAAATTTAACCACCTCTAGTCCTCAATCCGATGCTCTTCTCTTTGGTTCCTCTTTTTTACAATTTTCTCAGTATAATTCGATTACAAATTCATTAAACTTCATGTTAGATTAAGTACTCTTATCTTTAAATATTTCCTATGCTGAGGACTCTTTGGTACCACCTGATAAATACCACCCACCACTTTCTATTAGTTATATTTATACTACTATTGATAGTATTTTAACTACTTCAGGTCAATTTTTTAGTGTAGTTTTCGAAAAGCCGGCTTTAAGTCTATTTTTTTCGAGTTAAATACTTATAACTGGTATAACATATTTAGTGAATTGTCTATGGATGAAATAACGAATATGTTTTTTACAATATTGCTTGGTATTATCGATAAATATGTTCTGAAATCCTATTACTACCACTCCAAATTTCTTCTTCGGTTCAGTAAACACCTAATTAGTGTTATACGAGAAAAAAACAGCTCATAATTATTATTATTGCGCGTTGAAAAATATGTAAATTTACCGAGTATTTTCCTCGATTCGAAACATCAAGGTGTAGGTATCATTTTTTTGTGTACACAAGTGTGCCATAGCCTATAACTTTTTTAAAATGTGAAGTCTTAAGTTAAAATGAGTGTAAAAAGACGGCCGTACCTACAAAGTACTGACAAATAATAAATGAACACGTATGCTCTATATAAAAAAATACAAAAAAAATAGTATGCTACACTGAACAGCATATTTGATCAAAACCGAATTCTTACAACAAGAATGTATTGGTTTTAAAATTTATAAATTTAAGCTAGATTTTTGTTTTCTTGCCAGCACAAGCCATTTATGTCGGGTTCGATTATATTATTAAAGTGGAAACTTTGTTTCAAAAATATAAAAGAAATAAAAAATGTCGCTTCTCAGTTCCCACTAAAGAACAAATCGCACACATTTTCGGATCCATAAGAAGACACATAAAAAAAAAAAAGAGTTCACCCCATCTTTATCGGTTGTACTATGTCTAGAGAATATTTTATTTAAATACTGACTATATTTAAAAATGTATTGAATTTTAAGTTGAAAACTATGTTTATATGACGGGGGTTTTCCTGGATTTCGAATATCAAAATTCTATAAAACTTGTCCCGTTGTAGAGCGTATTTGGTGCTCTCTTTTTTCGAATATGACATCAGTTTATTGAATAAATCATATGAAACCTTATTATTATGTGCATATTCATGAGAACACACAAATAACTAGTACTGTTCTCATTAGATGTTGTACTTAAAAAAAAAACCACTCAATGGTATTATATTTTGAATACATTTTATTATATTCAACGTACGTTGAATTTTTCGTAACGTTTTTTAAAATTTTTAAATACTCGTAATATACAAAAAAGTTTTAGCTGTTTTAAACATTTTGTAATTAGAATGTAAACATTTTTATGTTTTTTTTTAAGACGCATTTTTTTGAGCTATGACCATAGCATCAAGACTCGGTGCCACTTCTTTGAGAGGACTAATTATTCCTGTATTTTTCTTCATTTCAGCGCATCTTTGCACGGTATAGTAAGGGTATACTCTCGCGCAATAGTATTTCAAAAGGTCACAATATACCGTCAAATCTATTTTTTCTAAAAAAAAAAACAAACAAAAATTTGAACATTAACATAAATAAACTTATATGTTAATATAAGGGCATAGTGTGGTGCAGTGGTCACCTCAGTTTTCGATGAAATAATTTATTTTAGCTGAAATGGTACTGTTTTTACAACGGTGTATTTTTATGTACCTTTTTGAGCGTATTTTTTTTTTTGGTTAAATTTTACAACGTTAATTTTAAGAAAAAAAAGATACATAAGTGTTTTAATTTATATAATTCCCAATGAGAATACTTTTATAAATCCAACCACATTACAGTTTAAAAAAAAATGTTATGTAATAATATGTAACGTATATAGCTGTTAATGTTTACCTAATTTTTCTATTGATTCTGGATGATCCTCGAAGTAATTTTCGGTGACCTCAATGTCTTGCCAATGACGACCCATATAATAGATAAAAAGATCAAAGTTTATATGTTTTAGTTTATAGTTTAGGCCTTCGCTACACCATTTTAAACAATCGTTGAACGAATCTTCCAACATCTGAAATTTATTTTAACAACACAAAGTTTAATTACATAAAAATCTGATTATACAATTTAAATATACCTATAACCTACGTGCTAACTAACAAGCAATAAAAAAAATAGTTTCCTACATAAGTATGGATATTTATAGGAAATCATTAATTTTTGTATTATAAATGATTTAGCAAAATATTGACCAAAACCTAATAGTTTTTAAATAATAGTATAAATTACCTTAGCTTCAGTTTCTTCTTTAGGTCCAGCTGAACTTGAAGCTTCAGTTTCCTCTCTAGGTCCAGCTGAACTTGAAGCTTCTGATGGGTCCGTTTTAATACAGCTAGCAGCAAGAATAAAAAATAACAATAAAATAGAGACCTTGAAAATCATTGTATTATCGTATTAAGTATAAACTGAACTTAACTGTGAGACAAATCGAATGAATTTTATCGTCTCTGAATGCCTATTTTATATTATAGAATTTAAATTATACTAAAATTATTCGAGTACACTAGTGTATCAAATATTTGTTATTAAATGTGGCTTTATTTTTTAACTACATATTTGCACAAGTATATAAATAAGTAACACAAGTTTATTTGTTTTATAAAAATTATACAAACTAATCGATGTGTTTAACAAAGAGGTGTTTTTTTTTAATTTTACAGAAAATAGGTTGAAAAATATGTATTTCAACACCATTACATATATTTAATAAACTTCCACGCCATCAGATATCAAGAATATGGATCTCTGTGTTCTTATATGTATTTAAAATGCATAGAAAAATATCAGTTACATTCTGTCCCACAATAGTATCTATTGTGCTATACTTTTTCATTTTAGCTTCGATGCGGAGCAGATATCGGTTATACAATGATGTGACTAAATACACTGCAACTTTTTTAATACTGAACCAATTTCTTCGAGTAGCAACTATAAATGACAAATTTTATCCAGTTGGTACTTATTTACTATTGATCTTCCTTAATACACCATCTCACTAAATTACTGTTTGTCCTAGGAACGCCTACTTTCCTAGTAAGTTTAACGTTCTCCGTATTACATATAGAAGGTTATATCCAGTGAGGAGACTATCTTTTTTTGGGGAACTCCGTGGAAGTAAGTTCTCCTTGCCATAATATCATACCCTCTTCCTGAGGTGGAACACTCAGTAGTTCACAGCTGTTCAGGAAACTTCTTCTAGACCGCAAGCGTTTTGGTGGTGATATCTGCCCGTATATGGTGTGGCGCCCGTCCGTAACGTCATTTACTAAAAGTACATACCGACTGATCCATTTAACGTGAGACAACCAATAACTCTTAAAATACTTAAATGCTATTTCGTACTTTTCATTGGAGCTAACGTTCAGAAAAGAGTTTCCTATCCACATCCTACTTTTTCCATACTCATTCCCTATTTCAAGTTCTTACTTGTACCACATCATTTGACCGCATCCATCCTATTTATAAAATGTTGCAGAGCGCCAAAGTTTCTTGTATAGATTTTTTAATCAAGTTTGGTCTGAAAAATCGCTTGGTTAGTTCTACTCAATGGTTGATTGTCTTAATTTTATATTCTCAGCTCTAGCCATTTTCATTGTAATATTTCTATCTATGTACTAATGTTACATGTTACAATGTGTTTTCTATCATTGCATCATATTGCTTATTATACTGTATTCTTAACCCAGTTATATATTATAAATAATGCAGGTAAAGAAATGATAACAATTACCAAACGTGAAAAGGCGAAAAGACATTTTACTGGAAAAGCTTTGAAAAATGTAGTTACCCAAATATTAGGTGAATATAAATATAGTTTTAACGGTATTGCTTTTTTAATTAAATTTATTTTTTACAAGGTTATTTATTGTAGGTAACACAATCAATTTATTTTTAACTAATTGATAATTTGTAGTTTTTCTTCTTGGGGACGCAGTTTAACTTTTGTTATTTTTTTAATATTAAACAATATATACATTTTTTTCTAGATTAGGTGGATTATATCGGCTTTATATTAATACAATTTTTGGCATTGATTAATTGGAACTGTTATAGATCAATATAACAACCATTTGATTAACTATAAAATGTTTTTAATTTTTTGCAGATCATTCTGAGCGTCATGAAATATACCAAAGAAATTACAAAGCTAGTCGTTAGTAGTAAATATAAGTTATGGCTTGTTTAAAAGTTACAATTTGTTTTACATTTTCCATTGTTCACACAATAATTACAATAAATTAAAATTTAGTTTTTATTTTTTCACCCCTTCTAGGCTCCGTCGATACGGATGATACATTTTTTACTGTATCTTTTCTCATTACTTTCAACTTATTTTGTACTCATTTGGGCGTTAAATTTAAAATTAAAACCAATATTTTTATAAATATTTAAATGTTTTCAACTCAGTTACACATACATACGTTTATACAGGCAAAGAAATTGTGAAATTGAACGAACTTGGAAAGGCGAGAAGACGTCTTACTGGAGAAGCTATAAAAAAAGTACTTACCCAAAAATTAGGTAAATATAAATAGCAAAATTTAATGGTATTGCTTTTTATATTTAAAAAGCTCTAACTCTGTTTGAATTTTACACATTTATTGTCAATTAGTTTATTAAATTATTGTCTAAAAAAAATATTAAAAACTTTTTCAATCTTTGGTCCACATGTTAAAAAAACCACTTTTTAGATTTTAAATTTATTTTTAATTGTGTCCTGCAAATTATAGAAAAATAGTGGCTAATAAACTAAACTTGGCAATAATTTTTAATAAGCATTTTCTGTTTTTTTTTAGCTGAAAAGTTCTCGACTGACAAGATGTATGTTCAGAGAATTTGCACTTTGATAGGAATGTGGATTAGTGTAAAAACGTCTTTACTAACGTCTTACATTATAGAATCTGACGCTTGTGTAATAGATTACGATGTCTATCGTTCTGTAAAATACAGGCCATTGAAGGGCAAATGGTGTCAAGTAAAACTCTTTTACAAAGACAAAAAAATAGAAGAACTAAAAGTACAACTACTCAAGGATCATTTCCTAATTGAGGAACAGAACCGGCTTAACAATTTAGACTAGTAATCAATTGTATATTTCTTTGCAATTATAAGTAAACAAATAAACAATTTTTGCATATTGCACTAACATTGGAAAATAAATGTCAATTACAATAATGTTTTTATCGAGAAAAAACGGTTTTTTTCACCATCATAAACACATTTGTTGCTTAAGAAGTATTATTATTATTGCGTATCTATAGCTATGGTTTGATTTTGACAGGAAGTAGGTTTTATGATTTAGATAGGTTACAAAATTCAATTGTATAAGAACTACTATTGTATTTGTTGTACACTTTTTTATAGTTTTTATAATTCATTAATATTTTCATATTGTTTTAAGTTAACCACAAAGGAAAATATATTTATCCATTTTTTTTAGATGGTTTAACAAAATTTCATACTGTTAAATGAAAATAATAAAAATTTTAATTAATGGTAAGTTTGAAAAAAATAAATTTGTTCGCACAATAGTAACAATACAGTATGATCCACTTATCGTGAACCACTCAATATCTCATAGGGTTTAATAAGAAATTACAATTTTTTTTTCATATTGTTTTTATACAATGTGATCTCAATTTTTCACAATTTTTTTGTTATTTCTCCCCTCCCAACTTTAAACTTAATACTGTATTTTGCTTTGACTAATTGATCAAATTAGAAAGATTTTAGAGTGACTGTTAATGCACAAATAAAACAACCTGGTTCGATTAACTGTGTAACTATTTTGTATTTTTGTTCCAGTTCTTTCTCTTCATGATAGAACAGAGCAACGTAATTACAGAGGTATTCTTTTTAGTATTAAATAGAACTTATGGCTTGATTGAATAATAACATTTTGTTTATAAATTGCTGCATTTACACAATAACTACGATAAAGTAAAATTTAGTCGAGAAGATTATATTTACGGTAATATTTTGAACAACATGTATAGATTTTTAACATTTCACAAGAAAATCAAATTATAAACAGTACAATCATCTGTTGCCAAGACGTCTTAAGTCAACAAAGACTGTATCGACAGACAACATATCATGCTAGTTCTAGCAGTTGGACATTATATCGAATAAAAATTGGTTGAAACGATGCTCCTGATGTTTTTTTACCACATCTTTTCGCACGTTGCTTCCCACTTTTTTCATACTCATTCCCTATTTCAAGTTCTTACTTGTACCACATTATTTGACCACATCCATTCTATTTATAGAATGTTGCACAGTGCCAAAGTTTCTTGTATAGATTTTTTAATCAATTTTGGTCTGAACAATCGCTTGGTAAGTTTTCTACTCGATTGTCAAATGCCTTAATTTTATATTCTCAGCCTTAGCCGTTATATTGTAATTTTCTATTTTGTATTAATATTACATATTACAATGCGTTTTCTATCATTGTATCATACTGATTTTTATACTGTATATTGTACATTGTATGTGATATTCATGTAGACTGGTGAAATAAAATATGCGTATTAGGACTTTACATAACAAAATAAAAAATAACTACAGATACAGGTATTAATAAATATTATATCATAAACCCGGTTTTATATAAATCTATCCAGATAAAGAAGGTTTGGAATTGTCCCCACTTGAAAAGGCGAAAAGACATATTAGCGTAAAATTTGTCAAAAATATGTATAACAATCTATTCAGTGAGTGTAAATATAATTTTAATGGTAATGCTTTTTTAATAACATACATTTTTACAGGGTGATTCATTATAGATAAAACAATCAATTTATTTTTAAGTATTTGATATATTGTGGTTTTAATTTTTGGGGACACAGTTTAATTTTTTAATTTATCGGTTTAAATTAATAATACATTTGACATTGATAATTGGAACTGTTTTTTTATATTTTTGTTGCAGAAAATGATGACCGTTATGATTTATACGAAAATGATTACAAAAATAGTTAGTAGTGTATATAACTTATGGCTCGTTTAAAAGATAAAATTTGCTTTACATATTCTTTTAATTTTAATTTTTACACCCCTCTATGCTTCACCAATGATATTGTTTTTACCATATCTATTCACATACATTTTCCCTCTATTTGTACTGATTTGGGCGTTAAATTTCAAAATAAAATACTTAATACGATTATATTAATAAATATTATTAATATAATATTTTATAATAATATTATAACGGTTTCAACTCAGTTATACACAAATACATTTATGCAGGTAAAGAAATTAAGAAATTGAACAAACTTGGAAAAGAGAGAAGACGCCATACTGGAGAAATTATAAGAAATGCACTTACCAATAAATTAGGTGAATAAAAATTTAGAGTTTTAATGGTATTACTTTTTATAACTGAAAATTTGTGTTTTTTTTTTTTGAAACACTTTAGTTTTGGTTTTTTACAATACTACACAACATTAAAAATGTTTTGTTATTTTTTTTCAAGAACACTAGAAACAAGAATAGTTTGGTGAAAGTGTTGACTGGTCGATAACTAGTTTTGAATAATTTCTCTTAATGTAAATTTACTGAAGTTTAAAATTTAGGATGAGAAATGGAATTCTGTAGACTATAATAACACTTCACCCTTTCACCCGTTCTGTTAATAAATTTTAAATCCAGTCAAAATTATCTTAAAGTGGAAAGTTATCTTATTTTTACACACATTCATTTTAATTCTATTGATTACTGTGGTTATTTTATTTAATTTTTTTAGCGTGTTTATGGAGAACACGGTTTGAAATTTACATATTTAATGTACAATTTTTCAGCTTTCTAAAAAAAGTATTAAAAAAATTCTCAAACTTTGGCATGCAACTTTTTAGATTAAAAATTTATTTTAAATGACTTTGTGTTATTCGAAAAAAATAATCATAATTTTTTTTAGAATGCTGAGATTATTTTACATAATTAACTGATTATAAAAAAAATTGTTTGATGATATCATAAAAAAAAACGATAAAAAATAAAAAACTACTACTACGACCATAGCAATATTTATATTGAACAGAAAAATCAAAACAAATTTGAGAACACACATTTTAGGGTATCAGTCATACAGTGTAAGTTTCAAAAAGGTCCACCGGGGGTGGGGGGGGGTTAGTGCGCCAAATGTTAGATTTTATTTAGCGTTTTGACGTATTCAATATAATTGTATTACTTGTCTTATTTAAGTTTAGTAATTGTGTCTTGGAAAATAGTAGCAATTTTTAACAACCATTTTCTGTTTTTTTTTTTTAGCTGAAAAGTCATCGAATGACAAGACGAATAATTCACAGATAATTTGTGATTTGATTGCAATGTGGATTAGTGTAAAAACGTCTTCAATAACGTATAATCGTATGAACTCACAAACGGATGTTTGTGTAATAAATGATGAAGCCTTTCATTATTATATGTACAAACCATCTGATGGCGAATATTTTGAAGTAAGCCTCAGTTACCATAGTGTTATAGTAGGAGAACTAAATGAACAACTCAAGGCTCCACTATTTGAAGAAACGAACAGCTATGACGATTTAGACTAGAAGCCAAATGTATATATTTCTTTAAAACTATAAATAAACAAATAACTAATTTTTTTCATATTGCTCTAACATCCGAATAATAACTGTCAATTAATGTAATTGTTTTTTTCTTCTAAAATAAACCGTTTTGCTCACAGTTATAAACACATTTGTTCCTTAATTTGGCTGGAGGTATGTTTTATGGCTTAGTTGGTTCCCAATGAAGAGGAGATGGTAGACTTTCGCCGGACTGTTTATTGCCCGAAGAAAGATAATATAGTATCAACAAGTGACAATATTACATTTTATAAGAACTACAATTGTATTATGGTTTTCATAATTCATAGTTATTTTTATAATGTTCTAAGTTAACCACATAGGAAAATGCATTTATTGATATTTTTTTTAGATTGGTATCTACAATTTCATCGTACTAAATGAATATAATTAAAATATTAAAATATTGATAACTTTGAAAAAGTAACTTATTTGTTAACATTATTCTCCAGCAGAATGGGAAGAAAAACGAAATATCGGTTAGAATTCAAACTACCATTTTATATATAGGTAAATGTATATCATATAATATATTAAGGTAATTAAAACCAATGCTTTTTTTTTTGTTCTCCTTGTGACAAGTGTGTTATTTTAGAACAAAAACAATTTTCCAACAAATTTTGACTTTGAGGTTGATTTTGGTATAAAGTAATCACTATTAAAACCAACACTCGGTCAGGATCGAATACGTTCACACGATATCTTAATAACATCCAATCAAAACTTACATTAGTTATTTCAGTTATCATAAATCAATTATATCTGCCGTGGCCATAGAACTAGAAAATTACTACAACATGTAAATACGGCTTAATTATTTTGTAAAATAATGCATGAAAAATAAATAATAATTAATTTAAATTAAAAATAACTTTTTATGTGTATTTTATTATTTTATTCCAAATTACAATACAAACCTAATTTCTCCATTTTAGCATGCGTGCAGGATCAAGATAAATGAATAATTTTTCATTATATTTGTTAATAATAAAAGCTTCAGGGTTATCAACATCAAAATTAGCTCCTAATTCTACAGAATGTGGAATTATATACTAACTCGTGTATCAGAACTAATAGGTGTAGGATCCTTCGCATACGACCCTTACATTTTACCATTTTCGGATTACTGAAATACAAGTTATTGTACAAAGAGAATTGGATACAGTGGAATGAAAGGGCAATGAAGAAACGTAAAGTAAAGGGAACTTGCTGTGGAACGTGTGTTAATGTTTAGCTATGATATAAGTTATGGAGCTAGATCTATTTAACACCAAGTGGAAAGCTCTGCTGTATCATATGTTGGCTCAAGCCCACGAGAAAGGAGTGGAACTTGACGTGGACTTGACCAAAAACGATCGTGGACAGTCTTGCACGAAATGTATAAGTTTAGAGGAACAAACTTAGTTATCAAAATTTACACGTCAGTATATAAAAAATTAAAAATTAGTGTAAAAATAAAAAAATATTTCAGGGTTTAGCAGACCTT